CCACGGAGCTTGTCATCATGGGCCTCACCCGCGGCCACAAACGCCGCCGCGCGACTACAGAAGAACACGATGCCGCCCCCGCGCCGCCGCCTGCGCAGCCACGGCCCGGCGAGCGAATGAAGAAGAAGGAGATTGCTAGTCTCTACGTATGCGAACTCTTAGTAACAACGAAGATAACGCGAAACACGTTCATATATATATGTAGCTGCCTTGATCGCGAGCGCGGCAGCAGGAAGTTGCGTCAGTGTCGAGCGGAAGACACGGTTGTTGCGTTTGGGCCAAAGACAATAACACCAGACGCGTAAGATCGGCCAGAGAGCATGAATGGACGACTTGTGGGCCGAGTACGGCGCGGTGACAGCGTCGTAGAGAAAGCCAGCGACCGAGCAAAATGCACTGCAGCGGTGCAAAAGCGCGCCAGATCGCTCGGACGTATGGGCATCGCACCAAAAGTTGGTCGTACGTTTCTTGCGCATCACAGAGTAGGCAGTGTTGCGTGCGTCCTGTGGCACAGGTCTCCGCCGACAGGTCTCCGCCGCACACTCCTCGTAGTTGCGTTGCAAAGCCGGATTCGCAGAATCGATGCTAGCGTTCGCCTTGGAAAGAGATGGCTGAGCAAAGTAAGTCGCCACCGTTGCTATACGCTTGTAGCTCGACGCTCCATGCTAGCGATGGAGTTCCACGTTGGTATGCCATCAGCCACGACGAAGCGCTCGTTCGGGAACTGCAGCGATCAAGGGTGTAGCCAGATTAAATGGCCACGCGACGCTTCTCCTTCTGTGAGAGCATCCTCACGTCACTCTCCGCTTCTCTCCCATCGGCATCCTCTAAGCATGTACTACATGGTAATGGCATCAAGCAGACAGAGCGAGCAAACAGAGAGCGTGGCGCCACTAGCTGGTATCGCATCGGCGTGTCCAGATGAGTTATCGCGCTCGGGACATTTCTGACTGCTGACCGTTTACTCGTACTCTGCAGAGCGCAAAGGCATGCAGAAAAGGGCCTCGACATTCTGGGGGCGACATGCCCATACACAAACCAAGTGGTCGTAGGCCGTCCCAGCGCCAAAGGCCACGCTGTTACACGTCTGGTCGGTTTGCAATCGCAACAACTTGAAGGGTTGAAGTTGAAGAAGCGCAGCAGCCTGTGGTCGTTCGTTGTGCTTGATTTTGTTGCGCCGTCCCAAGGACGGAGCAGTTACTGGACAGAATCTGCTTATCTCAGACTAGTCGTCGTTTGGTGCAAGCGAATCACTTCAGCATTATCCACGGTCAATTCGACGGAAATGCGTCGACTGTCCCAGGCACACTCTGTGCAGCTTCAAGGTCGCATAAAAGAACGCGTTGCCAAGGGCACGCAGGGGTAGGTCGGCTGCGTCTAGTCCGCGACGCTCCGACGAAAACGGCGACGATGTAGAAGAAGAATCGAGTCGACCGTCTACGAGAGCGGATCGGTTTGTTGGGTCCCATGGCGCGCTGACTGGCGCGCTGGTGGAATCCATTGGAGTGGATACACTTTGAGTGGATACGATACCAAGCGGTTCAGATGTAAAGCGCGTGCGTGTACAAATGCAGCATGGTTTGCGAAGCCAGTCATCAATCTGCATGGCCTCGGGTCGCGGTGGCGCGCCCCGACTGCTTTATCCACGCGGTGGCAACGTGTTTGGATACAAAGTGGAGTCTCGCCGCATACACAAATTGAGTACATGACGATGGTAGAGTGTTCACCAGACCTGCGTTATCCTGCGATGCCCACACACGCCATAACGACCTTGTAGGACCACTAACGTTAACTACGTACAGTGCCATTCGACAATAGTGTGCAGAGCCCGAGCGCGTTGGCTTTTTGTTGATGGCCCCGACGGGCTCGGACGAGCTCTCGGAGGCGACTGGTGCTGGCAAAAGACAAGAGGACAAATGGAGGTAACCCAAGTTGAGAAACAAAAAACGAGTGTAGTAGGGTACGTGCATCATGCGAGCACATCGTGATGGTGACGAGCGATTGCTATACACAAGGTAGCGGCACATCGGGTCGCCGGCGATTGGTCGACAGAAATGGCGCCGGCGCAACCAAAACACATCCGCAATCCTTGGAGATTGCTCGACAGTTTGCAACTTGAAGGCGACACAGTGGAATTACAATTGTTTTTGGAACGCGACTTGTGGGTGGATGTACCCAGCCTGGTTTGAACGCGCGGCTCTACGCCTACTGTCCCAAGGCCCGATCGCAGTCGTGGCCGCGGTCATTGGTGGAGCGATGGGGGCGACAAGAGTTCCCTTGGGCGGTGCAAGGAACCATGGCGCCTCATGCTTCTGAGCATTGATTTATTCCACTTTGCATGCACTGTTCACTACAAAGATACTCGTGTGTAGACACCTCGTTTTATGTATACAAATACCAAGTCGTTATCATGCATTTTGAGGGAGGAGATCCCACGGTGCGCCGACCAACCCCGAGCCCTCTCCCGTGCGCCGGGCGCGTTAAACACGTTCAACGCGTGTCGACAGCAGATTAACCTCGTGGTGGGTGCAATTAACGCGTGCAAAGGAAGGCCGCGGGGGACTTCAAGGGGGACAGTGGGTACCCACATGTCGCGCTTATCGCTGTCACGGCACACTCCGCATCTCTTTGCCAAACGAAAGGTGCGTGCCACGCCTGCTGCAACAAACCACGCAACATGATTTGCGTCCATTTGGTTTTGTTTTTTGGTTTTTTGGTTGCGGTCGAGCGCTCACTTTTCAATTTGCCTTTTGCATCCTCACCAGCAGCTCAGTAGCATGAACGACGTGCATCTTGGCGTCGGCTTTGCCCTCATTGCG